TTTTCCTCTACTTCTTTTGTATGTTTGTCACACTCTTGTGACTCACTATTTCAGGGGTGCCTTGATAGTCGAAGCAGACTTTGTGATGTTGAAGCTAGAGAGGTGAGCAGAGTAAGTCTGATTCCCTGAAAGGACTTCTCTGTTAACATCCACCCCTTGGCGCTCATATGACTTTATGCTGTTGCGAGCGCCGTAAAACCTCTACTAAAACTAAACTGATTAAAACGTCTTTTGCAATAATAATATTGGTATATGTAATTAGTTCATAACGCATATTTTCAAAAGCCCATCACTCCTGTGGGGGGTTGGCGGATGCTCTTTTGTAGTTTGCTTCTTCTTTCCTATTAAACATCTATCTTCCTTATCTCTCCTCCTTTTTTTTTGTGGGTTACTCTCTTGTAACACCTCTAATGTTCCGCACTTATATGACCTTGCTGTGTTGCAAGTGCCGTAAAACACTTACTAAAACTAAAACATCACTTCCTTACTTTTAATTGTACAGCCATAAAACTAACATCGAAAGACACACCATAAAAAGGGTAATATAAAAGTCATAGTTTTGTAACCCCAAAAAGGCTTCACAAAAATGTCCTTTTCATAATCCCATGCTCCATGTCTGTCTCATGAGGAGCATACCGGTACAATACTGCAGCCTGTTAAGTGCAGACTGCTTTTATTCACATATTCTGTCTGTGCCAATTGCCATATGACCATGTGTATATGGATGTAACTTTTTAAAAATATGGTTAAGTGTCCTAAACATACTTATAACATCCCGTTAGCTGGAACAGAAGTGGCACCCACTACTTTGTGTTGAAAGTCCAACCTCTTACCAATGGACTAGAACGATGTTCCCTTGTGTTTTGTTCTTAATCTGCGTGTGTATGTGTGTGTGTGTGTGTGCGTGCGCGCGCGACAATGTAGTATAGTCCAAAATAATCTGTATTTATAGAAATAGTGATCCTCTGTCTTTCAGGTAACAGCAAACTTTGGACCTAAATTCCGGTATCCCCCAAAAGGTGTCGACTACAAGCCAGTAAGTGTCCTAGGATTTATAATTTATACTTACACATGCATGTATTCAACACGGCAAAGCTTCAACATTGTTTGCTTTTGTCTGGCCTGGGTTTTTGATGAGAGTAGTGGACATCAGCTACAACCAGCCTGTCCTTCTCAAAAAAATTGTTGAGCATGTGACGAAAGGCTACATAACTACTGTGGGTACATGATATTTAATTTAAGAAATAATCCTTTTTTTAATCCCATGGGGTAATTTGGGGTACAATTCTTAATGTAATACCGACTTACAATAATTCATCAATGCCATGCTATACACAGTATCACACTAATACAGACAATCTCACAAAGGCGCCATTTCTTGGTTGGTGTACCTTGAGCAAAGATACGGACTAGTGACCTTCCACCGACATAATTATGCTTGTTATTATTCTTACCTTTAGCTCACTAGATTCACTGCTACTACAGCCTCCTCTGTATGCTTGCAGCAGTGTAAGGAGGAGGTAGAAAAGCATTCGTTAAAAAGTTCCAGTGTGGTAATTTCTTCATACTGCTCTTCCAGGGGTTCCTTTTCTTGTGTTTGATGGATGTGGTTTTCAGAGTGCTCAGTTGGCTTAATTTAATATAATTTTGAAGACCTATGTATTTAATGCTAAAGGGCTATAGTGACCTTTCAATTTGGAGAAAAAAAAAATTCTTTGTAACTGTAATCTTATCCTTGAAGAAATTCATGAAAAGTTTGATTGTCATGCAGAATCAGAATCCTTGCCAAGAATCATTGACTGTATTCTTTCTTTCTCATCTTTATATTTTTGTGGTGCCAGCCATACTGAGTGTAATAAACGCTTATAAATACTGTGCAGTTGAAAGTGTAAAGGTTGAGAGCCCTATAAAAAACTATACTTGTTGTGTGTAATAAATTAATTCCAGCCAGAAACCCAGGAAACTCTTTTTAGTAAAAGGTAGAGAACCTTTGTGAAAAACATCATGGGAGGCAGCCCCTCCAAAGATGCAGAATCCATTCTCCAGAAGAAATGTTTACTTAAGTCCATAAAAAGGCCTACCTGTTGGTTGAAGAAATTGAGGTCTTGCAGAGAGAAATGGAAAAGCGGCTACTCTGTACTTGAGCCATGAACTCCTTCTTCTTTTTTTTTCAGCAACATCCAGCATCATAATGGGACTATTGTCCATAAAGGAAAGATCAGATTTGTAACCCTCTTTTTGGTCCTTGTTTCCAGATTTCAGCGGCTGCAGAGCAAGCCCATGTGGAATACGCCTTGGCAGACATTATGTATCACGTAGAGAATGAAGACAATATACCAGACTTCCTATGATGAGATTTACCTAGGAATCTTGCTGTTTTCATGATATCAGAGACTGAATGGCAATCAATGACAGAGAATTCACGATGTACACATGTGACCATTTATTCTTCATAAGCCTTCCTTTGTCACTAGTGTTTTTCATTAGTATATTTCACTGTGGATGTGGCATTTTTCATATTCTCTTCCTATTTACACTTGTATCCTTACATGAATTCATAAGCCTTTGGTATGATATGGAAAACAGTCGCTATTGTCTTATACTCATTTTTGTGTTCGCGTGATTAGCCCTTTTGGCCCCTGTGCCCTCGAGCCTACAGGACCTGAGTTGTGCGTTTTGTGCACAGAAGGGTAAAGTTATTCACCCTCAAGTGTGTGCTTGGGACTTGACCTATTGGGTTAATGATAATCACTACCTCTTTCTTCTCTATGTTTTTGTTTGTTTGGGTTTTCTTTAGTTCAAAATGTGTTCTTTTTTATCGGTCATTAGTTTTTGTGTTGTGCATGTATAAATATTGGATTGGCAACAACTCAGAATTCAAATAAAGTCTTAAATCTATTAAATGTCCCAGAAAGAAAGGAAAAGATTATGAGGCTCAAACTCATTCCATGACCTTTTTTTGATTTGTAGAAATTATAACTTATAAGGATATGTGTGAACAAAAATGTAAACTTTTCCTCAAAATGTTGCTTTTTTTAATGCGATAATATCACCTTTTGTGAAGGACTTTTACTACCCTGTTGTTGCCTTTAACGGGGAGACACCACAGCATCTTTGGTGTATTTGTAAAAGCCTTCACTTTACACTCAAAAGACAATTATGATTTCCACATGGGGAATTATATGTATGTTATCAGAAATCTTTGTCCTTCTTCTGGGACGTATTCCTCGGAGGGTTAGCCCCGACAAGCAGGGTGAAAGCAGCCTGGCCTCCTGAAGTGTTGGCTTAACTGTGTTCACAAAGGCATAAGACACTTATTACTTATAACAAAGTTTTTATACAAACTTTTTATCTTATTTCTTACCTTGCAGCGAAATGAGTGTAACCTTGTTCAATTGGAAATGTCTCTGCATATTTCACACAATTTTTATAGAATTTTCATCTTGTTTACACTTTTCCAGAGGTATACCCACTGGTAACAAGACTGTTCTAGTTGTAATGTCAAATTCAAGTCTGGTTTTGACGTGTTGCAGATCATCATTTGTACTTTTGATAGATTATTGTCTTGTTTATTGTTGTGTTTATTATAGTGCATTGTTCATGTGTAATCTGGATGCTTGTGAAAAACAACAACCTCTTTCATCAGAGGATTTGATCATTGTGACTGTACCAACTTTCATATGATTCACTGATATTAAAGTCAATGCTTTTTAAAGTTTATTTTGAGAAAAAGCCCCACCTTAAACGTTCTCTTTGGATTTGGTGAATAAAAATCTTCTACTCTTTATATATTGGATATAGCTATTTCTGGTTGTGAGTATTTTGTTGCTGTTGTTTGGTCTGTTGTCGTCAGCACAAATCAAGCTTTCTATTATATTCTTCCTTTGCCGTTTATACAAATCTGTTCACGAAATACACTGCCATGCCAACATAAAACAGACCCATGATCGAGAGCTCAACATCTGAAGTGGTAAAGCTTCCATAACATTGAGTCGGCTATTAAATTAAGTTGGATGTGCGTATGTTAGAATTTTCACCACAATTGTGAAACATTTGGTTTGAACGAGTAAAGAAAAGCACATTACCATTATTTTGTGCTGTAAAAGAGGACAGGTAAACAGAAAAAAAAACAGAGAAGAGAGAAAAGAGGTAGTGCCTACTAGGGACGCCCTCCAACCATCCGCTGAGTACAATAAAGAAGAACGTGTATAAAGCTTGCGGTGTGAGTACACTGCTGTGTCTGTAAGTGAGTGACATGTGGACAACGTTTTCTCACCAAAGGAAAGAGAACGTCAACAGTTTCAGGAAAACTCGTGGAACATCTTCTTTGCAAGACAAGATTATTAACAGGCGTACCGGAAACAACGTTATTGTGGGGCTCTCGCGGTATTTCAACTGCCCTCGCACCACAGACTCGGATGCTAAGGACGTCACTGGGATAAAAGGGAAAATACTAGCACAGATGATCTGTTGAAAACAAGAAAATAAAACGAGTGGAAAAAGACAGAACCATGCTAATGCTACGTATGTACATGTACAAGGATACCGGCAACCATCTATGACATCCACAAAGATAATGTTTAGTAACTTAGTAGAGCCATGGTCACATTAAAGACTAGACTCAACAGACTTAACGCTTGCTTGTTTAACAAATTCAAGATCAACAAGTCTGCGATGAGTGTGTGTGTGTGTGCGTGTGTGTGTGTGTGTGTGTGTGTGTGTGTGTACAAGAACGCGCTGTGAATGATATTTATCTGTTATTTAGTGGCGTCCAAAAGAAAGTTGAAAATGTAATCTCTCAATCTTCGTGTTAAAGCCTTGCACTACCCACCCACGCAGTACCTATACCAATTTAAAGCTAAATGAAATCTGCATCATATGACTGATTAACCCTATCCGTACGTCGTGTTTTACAATTGTATCCATACGACGTGGAAACCACTTTCCAAAGAGGAAATTTACTCGTTAATCCGATTTGTACACTTTGCATAGCAGTCTATCAAAATGATTTTTTGAGAAATACTGAAAGTTTCAAAGAGATCTTCGTACGAGAAGTACAGTGGAACTCGGATTTAACGAGCTCGGATTCAACGAGAACTCGGATTCAACGAGAGGAGATAGATTCCCCGTTTTTTTTCTTCTTTAAAATCAATCAAAATAACCCGGATTCAACGAGCACTTAAATCAGCAAGCTTGGATTCGACGATGTCGCTTCCAGGGGAAACAGCCCCCACAGACGTGGCTTCGCTCATTTTTCTCCCAGAAAGAACTTTATCTATTCCCGGAAACCTTCCATTGCACCTGCATCGTGAACTATTGTTCACTTAGCCGATTGAATGCGACCAATCAGCGGCCTTTTTTCATACCAACACATGCGTTGTTGGCAGACGCACATGTATATTCTGGCGCGTGTCGGGGTCGGATGGGTGGCCTGAACACATGTGACTGTGTCGGGGAGGGGGGGGGGGGGCACCAGCGGTACGTACGGGCGTTGAACGTTGCAGATACAAACGCGTCAGTCTTTTTTCCCCTCAGGAACTGATCATTATTATATAAGCTAGGCCCTAGTATTGACGTAGATCTACGTAATGAATTGAGCGCTGGTCAATGGAATTAAAAGTTGCCGTGTGCTAGGCTCTACACAGCAACACAACTTTTTGGCAAACATTCGAGATGACACAGGGGTGCAATTGAACGAATTAGTCTTTTTTTTACACCGCTCATAATGTGCAGGCTTTTCAGACACTACTTGTTACTCCTCTTTACACATTATGTGCTCAGTGTCTGTAATAATCTACATAAAACCTCATATTTGCTATAACGAACACTCGGATTCAACGAGGTTTTAGGTCCGGCCCGGCGACCTCGTTGAATCCGAGTTCCACTGTATTCTAAAATGTGAAGAATACAACCCCGGTAGTACAAAATTAACCCCAGGGCGCACCGTTGTAGGATAGTTCATCTATGATTAGAGACGACGATTAGAGGTATGGTCACTCAAAATTGACCTTGTGGGTGGTTGGCGGGTGCTCTGGTGTGGTTTGCTTCTTCTTTCCAATCAAACATATCGTCCTTATCTCCCCTCTTTCTTTTTTATGTTTGTTACTCTCTTGTAGCACCTCTAATCTTCTGGCGCTCACATGCAGTTGCGAGCGCCGAAAAACCTCTATTAAGACAAACAAAATTGACCTTAAAATCAGGCTTAGCAAAACTGCGGAATCAAAGAAACGTGGAAGTGTCTTTGCGTGTGTATTGAGGTGCATCAACGTTGTTGGAATGGACATGTATTGAATATCGAATGAGAAGAAATATCATTGTCTCTGCAGTGAACAATATCTTCTGATATGTTCAAATAGATTGGAAAGCAAAGCAGTCACAAATAGCACGCAAAGCATGGACTTACCATTACACGCGCTCATTAGTACAATTTAGTTTTTGTTTAGGAGCAATTAGTTTCGTATAGAGCACGAAACCTTATTTGCACATGGACTGTGTTGGGTTAAATTTCGAACATAATCATCTGTTAATGAGGAGTAGAGACCACGAAACTTCCATATTTTTGGATGGTCAGGGGTGGAAAGAACAAAACCGCCTTCGTTAGAATCACCGGATGGCTTGGTTTACTATTACTACGGTTTAGTGGACAACATTGCGCAAGTGCTAAAACGTCATGTCTTACCTTTATTTTCGTCATGGTGTCATTCAAGTAGACTTTCCATGCAAAGCAAAGCACTTTCTCACAGGGCCAATGCCACTAGACAATTCTTGGAAAACCAAATCGGATCAAAGTTGGAGTGGTCGCCAGTAAGTAGCCCCGATATGAATCCTACAGTTATGTGAAGTCCCTTGAAATAGTAGATAAAGAAAAGCGACTTTGTTCCCAATTCAGACCTTTTGTTTGCTACTCTATCTGGGATGAAATGACAGATAAATTATGTCCAAAATTTAATAGAATCGATTCCCAAAGGGTTCGTGCTTTACACAAAACCAGTTACACCTAGGCAAAATAACAATGAGCACATTTATGTCAAGTCCAAGTTTTGCGTGATATTTGTGATTGCTGTGTTCCGTTTTGTTTGAAACTATCGTAATAAAATATTGTTTACTGCAGAGACTACATTCTCCATTCTTTGGGAATGCAATGTAGGCTATCATGTCTATCCTATCAATAAAATGTATTCTCCTCAATGCACGTGGTAAGATGATTTTACGTTTATTTGATTTCGCACAATTTTGCCACGCCTAATTTTTAACGGTCAATTTTGAGTGAGTGACCATACCTCGGTTGTCCCTAAACATGAATGAAATACTAATGAGTCAGAAGATGCGGAATTCATTTAGCTTTAAATTGGTATACTGCGTGATTGGATAGTGCAAGGCAATAACACGATGATTGTGAGATTAGATTTTCAAGTTTCCTTTGGAAGCCATTGTTCATCAAAACTCCTCAGAAAGTAGAAAGACTTTATGGAAGCATTGGGCACATTCACACGACAACCACGTTCGTCCGGGAAATTGGTCTCTCTATTTAGAGGAGGAGAAAGAAACTGCTAAGGGGTTGTATAAGATCAAGAAAAAGAAAAGCAGCGAAGACGGAAATAATTACAATGTAGTATCAGAAGAGTATAGCAAGTCAAGATGCAAAAGAGAGCAAATCTATAGTCCTTGCCTTGTCCTCAATCGGCATTTTCTTTCAATGTCATGCAATGGCCTACATTAATATATAATAAAGCCACACACATTATAACAGCACAGTCACGCGCACCATAATCGTTAATGACGGAGCGGAGCCCGTGTTCCATCTAACAACGTTGCTTGTAATGACATGGTTACATGTGCCTGTTTTCGAGTACATATGACAGTTCCATTCAGAGAGTGTACTCATAATGTAGTTGCAAAAATATACAATACATGTATATGAACGCCGTGTTATCTTAAACGACGAAGATGGTATTTAAGTGTTTACTGGACCGAAAGTGGACGGCCCACGTTTAAATCCACTTTGTACACCTTTGAACTTCATGCTCGTAGTCCCGAGCATCTTCACAGTTCTTTCACACTTGACCCGGCATATAATTTTCTTTATTTCGACTTTTTTTTTTTGGGGGGGGGGGTATCCAGGATGATCTCTGTCTGTGTTGAGGACGTTTCTAACCGGGTTGGTCTACAATTCTATAGTCAAGGTGATAAGAGGCAAACAAAGCATTATTGTATGGGATCGCGCGTGATACCGGGAGAACTTTTATCCTGAAGACCAGGTCTACTGACTACACTACTACATGAGATAAAACTGAGCGGGAATGTTTTACAGTCCCATTAACGCAAGTGAGATCACGTAGGAGACATCCCACTTTGACTTTGACCATGCCTGCCGGGAGCAACCAAGTGCAACCAAGGGCTGAGTGGTGTACCAGCCTAACAGGAAGGAGGAGATATAATTTGATAGAGTAGACTTTCCCACGCATGCATTAAACTCTTGTCTTTTGCGCGTGAGAGCAAAAGCCTAACTGTTCTTCCAAAGACGTCGGCCACGTATGAGATGTGCTGCGGACTGAGACCAGTGCAAGGCTTCAGCGGGTGGTTGAAGCATGCCACTAGTACAGTAGTAGGTTCTCTCTCTCTCTCTCTCTCTCTCTCTCTCTCTCTCTCTCTCTCTCTCTCTCTCTCTCTCTCTCTCTCTCTCTCTCTCTGTGTGTGTCTGTCTCCCTTTCTCTCTCTGTCTCTCTCTGTCTCTCTCTCTGATGTTTCTGTCTCTCTCTCTGATGTTTCTGTCTCTCTCTCTCTCTCTCTCTGATG